CAACAAAAGCAATAATTGTGAGGGGAAAATAGAGAGAAATCTAGTGGTTTATTCTCCTACAGGCAAAGGTGTTTTATAGTAATTGAAAAATGATGATAATCTGGTTCCTACCACTTATAACATATGTTTATGTTTATGCAATAAATTATATATATTCATAATCTGGTTATATTTACATTTAATCAATAATTCTGACAGGGTAATATCCATAAGAACATTTGGATATAAAACTAAAACATAAAGTACAGAACAAATAGGATAACAGTGATAAATACCTTAAGTGGATCTGCTAGCTCTGACAGCTGATTAATTTTTAGTTTAATTGCATCATACTTGTTTTCTGCTTCTACTTTAAGACTTTTATGATGTTCCAAATTTTCTTTTTGTTGTTCCATGTTTTTCTCAACCATTTTCATTTTTATTTTATTTTCTTGAGCTTCGTCTTCCTGATAACATTTAAAGATTACAGAGTTAATAGACTTTTATCAAATAGGGGGGAAAAAAAGAAACAATTCTGTGAGGAGAAACTACAGACTATAGACAAATCATATCAAAGATAAACACAAGAGAATTTTTTCATATCCTTAATGGTAAATTAGAAAGTAAAAAAAAAAAAACCAAGAAAAACAAAAAAGAAGTTCAAAAATAAGAAGGAAAGATATTTAGTAGATAAGTCAAATGATATTCTATTTGAGATCATAAGATCATAATCAAAAGGACTAACTTTTATCTACTACCCTTTTTTTAAAAAGGGGGTACATATAAATATATTTACCTTATGCCACACAATGTGTTAAGTGTTACCAAACTGAAGACATAGTCCATGCCTTCATGAAATTTAATCTATCAATAAAAGGTATTAAAAGCAGAAAAATAAAAAGTGGAAACATTTCTAGTAAAAAGCCATAGCAAGTGTCATGAGAATGAAGTTCTGTCAGCATGGGACTTTGCTGCTTTGTTCACTGCTTATTTCTCAACATTTAATATCCTGCCAGATAGGCAGACAGACACTTGACAAACAATCGCTATTTTTTAACAAGATGCAAAATTTATCTTACTGTTTACTGTAGCTCAGAAAAAAATAAGCTGAATGTCATAAATGGATGCTGGAACAAGATAAATACAGAATAACGAATTCATGGAGAATTAAAATGGGAGCCATTAACTTAGGAAAAAAGAAAACAAGGAAGGAAAGGCAGAGAGAAAATATGACCGACTCAAAGGTGGTACTGCCATCTCTGTCCACTTGTACTGATGCTGTTTAACTGAGAGTGCCTAAATGGGCCACTATACAGAAGCATAATTAAGTTTGTGATGAAGTTTTTATTTCATGTAGCAGAAGACAAAATCAACTATGCATAAAAGTTATCTACACAAAACACGCCTGAAGTTCAGGTAGTTTCTAACATAATTATGAGTGGAGATAACAATCATAAAAAGTAGCTTTAACTAAAGGATTAAAAAAAAAGCTGAGATTTGATGGCCATTAACCTATATGACAATTTTACTGATTAACATTATATTCAACTGAAGAGTAGAATTTTACCAAGGTTGCAATATCTACAGACTGATGTTCTTCTATATTCTCAAGTTCCCGAATTTCGGAAATACTTTTTCTTATTTTCATCTGAAAGGAAAGCATTCAGAATTTAATAATAATAATAATAATTATAGGAGGAGGAGGAGCCAACAAAACACTTGGAAAATATAATGAATGCATTAATCCATAAAGCTATATGACCCAGAAAGATCCCATAATTGACAAAAGGGGTACCTTAGTAATAAACAAACCAAAGGAAGTTAGAAAGAAATTCTTCCATCATCATTCTCATTGCTAATCCGTTCCCACACACAATAAACATAAAATTAATCCATCTTAGAATTTTAAAATGATGACATTTTTGAGTACACTAAGTATTTTTCTGAAACACACAAACTCTCAATTACTCTAACCTAGTGATTCTCAAACTAAGATTCAAGTAACCCTCAGGCATCCCCAGACCCTTTAAAAAAGTCTTCATGGTCAAAATTACTTTCATAAAAACACTAAAGCATAATTTATCACTCTTATGAGCATTTTATCGTAATTGCACAGGTGGTTGTGATTTATAATATCACAAGGGTCTGAATGAAAAAACTGACATAAATCAAGTGAATTTTATGAAAACAGACATTAGAAATTACAAAAATCTAAAAATGCCAATCTTCTCACTAAATCTTGGTTTTGAAGAATATATTTTTCATATTATTTTAAATTCATTATTAAATATTCTTAGTTTTACACTTAGCCAAAAATTTTATTTTAATTTTTAAAGGTATAAAAGTTGATAGATATAATCCACATAAATGAAAGCTCATTTAAGAATGTAAGGCCTTGGGGGCCAAAGTGTTTAAGAACTACTTGAAGTGACAAAGTTTCAAAATAAACTTTAAAGTGTTAAAATGAGAAAAACAAAATTATGTTTTGCTTTTTACCTTTAACTCTTTATAATGTAGCTGGCATCTTTTAAGAAGATCTTCATTGTGTTTAGTATCCTTTTCAAGGGCAGATAGATGCTGCTGAAGATTTACTATCTGGGCCTTCTTATTTTCAACCTCATTTTCCAAGTCACTTGATCAACAAAAGATGAAAAATACTTTCAATCTATTTCTCAATATAATAAATATTTTAGATTGTTACAGAAAAGCTTATTTGTAATAACTTGTTTACAAAATCCTCTTCCACTAAACCAGTTTATAATTTGAACAAATTATTATAAAATACAAATCTATTATAACAGAAATGTAATTATCTCCTAAACTGGAGTCAAGTTTTACTTATTTCCTTAACAATATGTCTCACATGTGCTATGAATGTGTGCACAGTAATAGGAAGAGGTAGAAACAGAATTAAGACATGATACCTCAAAAGCAATAAAACCAGGAAAAAACTGTCACACGAAAATGTCAATGTGAGAGTACTAGTACTACATATTCATAGAACTATGGAAACACAAAAGTATGTGTGAGAGAAGAGACAACTTTATTGCATTCTTTAAAGCTTTTATAAGCTCTGTCAACTAGGGGAGAATTAAACAACAACAACAACAAATACACAAAGGCAGAGTGATGAAAACGGATGTAACAGCTCAACATTTTCAAGTGGGAAAAAAGAAATATGCCAAGAATGCATAAGGAGGCAACAGAGTCAAGTGGCTTTCTGAGCAATCTTTCCCTGCCTGACTGATCCAATCTTCTGTCTGAAACCTGTGTGCCTGGAGACAGAAAACCATCTTTGCAGTCACGAACAACTTTTTCCTGGCTGAGAGAGTTGGCCGAATTACACTGAAATGCATATTTTCCCACATTTTAATACCTCTGAAATTTGAAACAATTTTGCAGTCCATGCTTCAATATCACCTGCCCTTTGTTCCTTTCAGTTGCTAGGTAAAACAGTACATAAACTATATACTGGTATATAAAATTCTACCTTGGTACAATTTTCAAATTAAAAGAAAACTCACTAAGTGTCAGCCGAATAAATGATGAATGATAAAAATGGAGCCAGATGCAAAGCTTTAATATGGCTCCTAAGCATCTAATATAAAATATTTACTTCATCATAAACAAATCTATATCATTATTAACTAACAGATATTTTGCTAAAACCAATTTACTAAGTAAACAAATATGGAACCTTGAGACTAAACAAAAAATAAAAACAAAATGATCAAAGACTAATGTTATACAATGTTCTGAACATCAGCAAAAATTCAAGAAACCAACATAACTCATTCAAAAAACTGCTGAATGTGATAATTTCATTCTTTCTAGATAGGACTAATTATTATCATTTTTGTACAGTGCTGCTCTTTAGTTTTTAATTCAGTCTTACGTGGAGAAAGAACATTTGCTATCTCCTGAAAGATATACTAAACCCAAGCTACGTACGTGAGTTGTATGTGTGGGACCAGCACGCTCCCCGAGTATATACCTCATTCCCAATTCATACTCTGCTTTGTCTCTTTCCACAGCAGATAACCATCTAACCTGACCTGGCTTTCAAGTAGTTTACTTCCCCTTGCTTAATTCAAACTCCAAGAGAGAATTTCTGTGTACTCTGTTTTCAGATGAACTTTGTGCTTAGATTAGCACATGGCATGGTAGGTCACATTGGGTAATCACTAAATATTTGTTTTCTGAACAAATGAAAGAAAAAAATTTGAAAAACAGACTTTTAAAAGTCTATAAAAATGTTATTATTTTGACAACTTAAAATATGGAAAAAGTAACTTTTTTGGTGGGGGGGGGGGAGATGGGTACTGGGGATTGAACCAGGGGTGTTGTACCACTGAGTTCTGTTTCTATTTAGTCACCCAGGCTAATCTTGATCTTGCAGCTCTTGGATCAGACTCCCAAGCCCAGGTATACAATATTTTTATAAAAATTAGTAATTATACCAGTAATTATTCTGAAAGCTTGCTTACATATTATGTGTACTTTTATAACTCAAAACCACATTGGGATAATGAATAAAACCAATGTCACAGCACTCAAGCTGCTGGTCATTCAACTTTTTTCTGTTGCTAAATAATAAGTTTTACTAAACCTTTCAGTACTTATTATTTTATGCTGCTTTCACATTAAAATGATGAGTACTATTTGAGAATAATACTCAACTATTGCAACTAAATTCTCATTTTCCCTAAACATACAAGTCATTTAGAGTACGTTGCTCCATTTTTAAAAATATTTCTTTTATTTATATTCTGTGTTATACTTAAGTCATTAATAAAGGCACAACCTATCCATTTATCAACTGAATTAATTCAGGTCAGAAATCATGATTATTTATGGTACAAAAATTATTCATGCATGCTCTTGAATCTCATTAAGTACATTATTAGTTTTTTGTATAATTTCTCAGTTTGTCTCCTTTAATAGCTCTATTTTTCTAAGCATGTGTTCTCACTGTGTTGATTGATGTTCTTTCTAGAATGGTACAACTCAGAGTACCAGTCAGAGACATGACAAGGAGCATTAGCCACAATGAAACCAGCAAATGACCCTGAGAAAAATCAGCAGAACGAAATGGTAGACAGTGATATAGCTCATTTACATTTTTATTCTTTCTTTCTTTTTTTGGTGGGGAGTAACCAGGGATTGAACTCAGGGGCACTCAACCACTGATCCACATCCCCAGCCCTATTTTATATTTTATTTTGAGACAGGGTCTCACTGAGTTACTTAGACTGGTTTTCAACTCACCATCCTCCTGTCTTAGCTTCCAGAGCCACTGGGATCCCAAGCATGTCAACCCATAATTTCACATCTACTTAAAGGATCTTATAAGAAGCTAACATCAAGATAAGTTACAGTTCCTTGTTGAAATAACTTTAATGAATGAAATGAATGAAACTGAAGCTCAAAGGAAGTGGGAATAATGCAATAAAGATAAACTTGACTCACCTTATTTCAGAATCCACATCTCTGCTTAGGAACTTAGGTCGTGTATTTTCAGATGAATAATAACGTCCTGCAAAAACTTGGTCACCATCAGCAGTAAAAGCTTCTCTACAATTTTTGGGTGGCTTTTGAAACTGCATAACTGCACGAGCTACAGAATTATTCTAGAACAATAGAGGGGGAAAATACATTTTTTAAAACAATGTCAAAGAATTTCCAATAGGCACAATTTTAAAATATTACCTGTCTTTATTATTTAATAAAATTCAAGTTTTTTTGAATGTTCAAATGCAATATGTCATGAAGTTAACATAAAAATTTCAAAAACAAGTTCCAGATTCAAGGAATTAAAACTATATATAGTCACTAAACAACTGAAAAAATGCTTTATGATAAATTGGTAGACTTTATTTTTAAATTCTAATATTCACATCCATTTCAAATTAAGTTATTTTAAGTAACTTTTCACATAAATACATTTACTTTAGAAAAGTTCATACAATAAGTTTTTCTAAATGCTATGAATGGCTAGCAAAATTTAAAAAAAGATCAGCATATGAAATTATATAGAGAAAGCCTGGAAATACTTAAGCCCTCAAGGAAATAAAAAGAAGATGAGGCTTACTCAAGGCCTCATAAACCTCTCTAGGGACAGACTTTCTGAGCAAGGCTTCGTTATTTATTTTCAAGTATATTTCTAAAACCTGAGAGCCAAACTCACAATTATAGTAGAAATGTTCATGGGTACATATCTGGGATATCAAAACCTTTATTTTTAAATTTCCATTAATGAGAAACAATTAGGTTGTCTCAATTACAGATTTCTGTTTTAAATTTCCTGCCCGCTGCTCAGCAACTTGTCAATAGACAAGACAAAATATGACGATCTAATCTAACAAGTATACAAAAATACATGAACAGTTGGAAAGTAAGTATCATTTAATTTTCAAAGAGCACAAAGGTATAGAAAAAAAATTTACAAAATATAAAGTACTTTATTTAAAAGGTAGAGTTTTATATATATATATATATATATATATGTATACATGTATACATACACACACTTGTATAGATATATATATATATATATATATATATATATATGCAAATAAAAAATGAACTTGGCAGCAAATCAAGAAAAAAATGAACCAAAAATGTTACAGTACTGTGTACCAAAAGAACAATATTTATTTGTGACATTATTTCACAAAGAATAGTCCAAAGTTATAAAGTTACCCGAGGCAAAAAAACATACAAGCCAATTAGTTCTATATTACCCTATAGGTTTTTCTAGCGTAAAGTAAAATGGTGAAACATAAAGTTTTTCATGATAAAGAAAGGAGTTTATAAAGCCACCTTGAGTTCTGAAAATTTTAAAGTAACATAAAATACAACAAGCATCTGGTCTTACTTTGATTAGCAGCACTGTCTCTATGCCCCTCATGTCGATTAGGCTATTGGCAACAACTGCATTATCTATTTCTAAAGCTGTCAGAACTGTTGGGAACTCTGGATGATGAGCAGCTCTAGGAGATAAAAGAGACAAAACTTAACAAACTTTATAATTATAAATATGTGTGTAAATTTTATATATGTAAAAATTGTATATATTTAATGGGAAAGATAATCAGATGAAAAAATATTTGATAACATCTGTAAACATACCTGCTTAGTTAAATTTAAAAATTTACTTAGTTAATATCTATATAATGTTATGTGCTAAGCACTGTGCTAAGCTTATTACTTAATCATTCTCTCCATTTTTTTCCCAGATGAGGATGCTTCAGAGTTTCAGTTCCCTATTGTCATAACACTAGTGAATAAGACTGTGCAAGGACTTTAACTAGGCAGTATAGATTTTAGAATTTGGATTCTTAACCTTTAAGCCCTTTTGCTTATTATAATGGTTAAAATTTCCTTAAATCTTCCACTGCAATCATATGTAAACATAAGTCAATTAATTAAGATCCATTAAGTCCCAAGTTCTCAATTCTATATAGGATGATGGAGCACAGTGAATTAAAATACATCTTTAATAGTTACACAATTGTTCTACTGATACAAAACAATAAAAAAATGAAGTAAAGTTTATTATCAACAGAGAAAAGATATTCTTACAAATTGAAATTTGAGATCCATAAGAGACATTCAATCTTTCAATTAAATTTGAAACACATGAGCTATTAAGAGCATTGAAAGATGGACATACTAAGAACAGTAGGTACTGAAGCAATAAGTTACCGAAGGGAAACAATTATAGTATTCTTAAGAGTTTTTAGTCAGTCCTAGGATTTCAAAACAAGTCAGCACTTCTATATGTTTTATACGTCTTCATGCATTAATTCAACATGTATTTGCTGAGCACCTAACTATGTTCAAGGTGCTATTCCAGACAGTAGAGAACCTTTAGGGTTCTCTACTTTAAGGGAGTTAGGGATAAAGTGTTTTCTCTCTGCATAAGAATCTAAACTATGCTTACTTGTTTATTTCCATCTCTGATCCCTGGTTTCTAAAACACGATCCTCATCTTAAAAAGAAAAACAAAAAACAAAAAAGCTTCTCATGGAGCATAGCTTACATTTTATTAAAGGAAAATATAAGGAAAAAAGGAGGCAAAGTTTGCAACATAATGATTGCTCACACACAAAAACAGGCAATAAAAACCTCACTGGGCAGACATCTGAGCAAATGAGAGATTCATGGGGAAGAACAATTGCAAAGGCTCTGAAAAGTACATAGGAAAGACCATGTAGCCAGTGCGCAGTGGCAGACTAAACAGTCAAGGAGAACCCTTATAGATTTAAGAGAGGAAACACGGTGGGAAGGCAAATCACATGGGCCCTTGATAAAGTAAAAAGATGAAAGTTTTATGGTACTTTGTACAGAAAAATGACAGGATCTGACTGCTGTCCTAAGACTGTAGTGTCGGATAACCAGAATTGACTGCAATATTCAAGTGAAACATGAGGATGGCATGAACAAGAATGGAAGCTACAAGGATTCAGACTCTGCATAGATTTTTAATGTTCAGCCAACAAGGTGTGGCATAGCTGAGTCAAAAATGATGGATATTTGGCTTGGGAATGGAAAAATGAAAAGGAAGGGATTATAGGAGCAGGTTTCAGGGTGGAAATCAGAAGTTTGACTTTTAGACCTGTTACATTTGGAATGCCTAGGGACATCTAAGTGGAAAATTCAGAAAAAAAGAGCCAAGTAGAGATGTCATTTGGTAATCGTATGTATTTAAAGCCATCAAAATGGGTGAGTTCACTTCAAGAGAAATAATACACACTCTAAGGAGAGGTCTGGAATGCTCATATAGTCAGAGGTGAGGAGGAAAAAGCAAAAATACTAAAACAGAACACTTGGGGAATTAGGAAAATCAGAAGTGCATAGTCCTGGGCACCACGTGAAAAATGTGTTTTAGGAAGAATGAAATGATCAACAAATCCAAATACTGCTAATAATTCAAGTAAGTAAATATAGTAAAAGCTGATTATCAAATTCAGCACTGTAAGGTTTGCTGAAGCCCGGCACTTTGGCGAGTACCTGTAATCCCAGCGACATGTGAGGCTGGGGCAAAAGATCAAAAGTTTTAGGCCAACCTCAGCAACTTAGTGAGTCCCTGTCTCAAAATAAAAATATAAAAAGGGCTTGTGATGTAGCTCAGTGGTAAAGTACCCCCGAGTTCAATCCCTAGTACAAAAAATAAAGACAAAAGGACTGGAATAGGTTCAAGATTAAAGGGGAAGAAAGAATGTGGAGATACATACATCTCCTTTTGAAGAGTTTTCCTAATGAAGGAAAACAGAAATGAGATACTGAGAGCTAAATGGCCTTTTTAGGATAGAGTTCAAGTAGAAGGAGAAACACAAGTGGAAGCAAAGAACAAGGAGTGGATGCTCTAGAAAATGCCAAGCAATATCAATGGAACAAAGTAGAAACCAAGGAGATAACGGAAAGGAAAGAGGAGACTGAGAGGAGGAGGCAGTAGGAGATTCTGGTGAAATCTGAGCAAGCACATACCATGATTAGATGGAGTTGCTATAATAGTTTGCTCTACGGCGCCAACTTGCCACCATGCTTTCCTTCTGCTATCCTTATAAGGGATTTACTTCATAATTAATTATGTTACAACTAATTACATTACTATCAATTGGAGGAGGTTGATAGATGTTATAAAATTAGTTCAGAAGTCAAAGCAGAAAAGACATTAGCAATGAGATGTCAGTGGAAGGCAACAAGGAAGGATACTATGAAACGGGCTGACCACACCAAGCTAAGTAGAAAGCCTGAAGAAGACACAAAAAGCAGAGGAAAACTATGCATAAAATTGAAGGTAGCATATGGGCTTCACTGGTAAAAGAAGTTCCAGGACAAAATAATTTTATGATCCTAATTAGGCTTTATAAAATCACTTAATAATGTCATTTCTAATAGCCGAGTAAAAGGAAAAATACCACAATCAAATTTAAAGTACAGGAAAAAACATGCTTAAAACCTGGCACATTTTTTAATGTCTACAAATGTAAGAATATATTGTTAAGAATACATAGTGAGAATGAGAGAGGAGACCATGAACATAGATGGCAGAAGCACCTTAATGAAAGGAGTAGATGAAGAAAAGCGTACAAAATAGGTCAAGAAGCATCTACTAGGTAGACCAATCAAGAAAATGGTGTCATAATAACAAAAGGGGTAAAAGATTTAAGTAAGGTGTATCTAATAGTATCTAATGCCTAAGTAAATATATATACCAAAATATATATATATTTCCTTTAGAGATGGCAACAAAAAAATAACTGGAGAATATAATGAATATTTTAGGAGCAGAGAATAGTGCCTCAAAATACTGAGTGCAAAGTATACCTTAGGAAGAGTCTGACCTAACATGTTTAAAGAGATAAGAAGAAGTCAATGGAAAGTGTGTGGCTGAGGAGTTATTTTTTAAAAAGAGTTCACAAGTCAAGCAAGAAAGTATGTGATTTTGAGCACAAACGGAACAGCATTAGAGAGAAAAAAACACGTCTTCTACTGAGAAAGAGGTAAGAGAATACATGCAGACATGGTTATGGGTGAGTACTGGCAGGATGCGTAGCCCAGCAGCTTTTACTATTGCTAAAAAGAAGTGGCTCTTTTTGTGGGGAGCCATTCTCACACGTGACTTGGCGACTCCTGGTTTGGGTCTGAGGCGCTCTGGCTGTGTCGGAGCTTTCCCGGCCCTCTCCTGATGAGAGAACCCGTCCGTGTGGGGGTGTGACTGACCACTGACCCTGGGGGGCCAATCAGTGACCCTGACCTTGGAGTGCGGCCCCCCTCAATCTTCATTGGATGGAATTCTCCCCTGAATTTCTTGTTCCCCAATAAAAGGCTACTCTTTGGTGTGCTCTCTCTCTCTCTCTCTCTCTGTCTCTCCTGCTAGCCCTGAGTAATCCTTGCTGCCCTGCAGGTGGTTTGAGGTGGGAGCCAGAGAGGGGAGCTGTCTGGGACCTGGTCATAGAAAAAGGTCACTGAGTCTGTGTGTTTTATTTCCATCTCTGCTAGCTAACTTTTATGCCAAGAACCTCATTAATGAAATCAGCGCACTGGCCGCATGGTGGATCTTTTGATAAAAAGGGGAACTATATAGTTCCTGACTATCTGCTTCCCTGGGAGCTAGGGATGTTACTAGGTACCTTCATTATCTAATGTAAGCTTAAATGAATGAAATGAGTCTTAATTATCTGATGCATGCAGATATTCTACTAGTATTTCACTATTCTTTTTTACATTAATATAACATGTCCAAGTTGTAAATTTAGCATTTGAACCACAATTTACACTGCCAAAGTTATTTACACATACAAAAACAAATCCTTCAAAATGTGTGCGTGAGGCAACTAAAGTTGATAATATTAAATATATTCAGGACTCTTGTCAATATCATATCAATAAAAAGAACTAGAATCTAACTTCTTCCAATAATTTCAACAACTCTGTGCTTCAGCAACCTACTCTTGAAGTCAAAACATGGATTTACTACCACCAGTACCTCTTTTCATTAAACTCTAAATTTCTGTCTTACCACAGCTTTCTATCCCATCCTGCCAGACTGATGTCAAACCTGCTGTCTAGTCTTATGCAGGCTGACCTAAACATTTTCCCCAGACTTCGCTTTCTTTGAACTATTCTCTCAATAGCATCTTCAACTCCTTCCTTCCTCTTCTTCTGTCCTAAAAACCTTTATTATAGTATTAATCCATCAGGACACATTCTCCTTTGACATCTATATAAATAAACACACATTAATAGTGAAAAATCCTGCAGCCTCTGGAGGACTTTGAGTCAGCTCCCTCTCAGATTTGTGGTAACTAGTCTAAACCCTTAATCAGATAATCCCCAAGCCTTCCACCCAACTCCTGAGATCCAGTTCTCAGCATATGAACTCACCAACTTCCAAAACAAGGGACATTGTACAACATAAACTTAACTCACATTTGCACCCCTCAAATCCAACACATTATAAGCAACTGGAAATCACATAGGCCAGAAAACACAGTGTGTGAGCAGGGCAATTCCAGGCATTCTCCTTCACAGGGGTCCCTGTGGCAGTTCATAGAGCAATTGGTACAGCTCTTCCGGACTATTCTTTCTTGGTTCCAAAATGACAGTGCAAGTTGAAGAATATTCCTCACAGAAGCCACTATCTCTCATAACAACTTCATAAGTTCTTCATAAGGAAAATAGCGGATTATAGGAGTTGTCATGCATACCAGGTGTGCCAAATTCTCCCAGTCCAGTCACACTAACCTGTCATGGGTCATTTTTATCATTAAATAATGCTGTCTGGTAGTACAAATGAAATTTCATTTTTATCAGGTTTTAGAAACCTGGGATCAGAGCTGGAGATAAACATAGGTCAAATTTTCAGGAAGAGGGGAAAACACTTTACTCCTCACTCCCAAATACTTATCTATAGCCTATAGTTCAAAATCAACACTTCAAAACAGGACTTTATGTACTTTTGACAAATTTACTTTTTCCCCTCATACTTCTCCCTAAATCACTTGATAGCATATCATTCAGTTAGTTATTCTAGCAAGAAACCTAAAAGTTATTCTTGATTTTTCCTTCTCTTCTAATTAATGTCTTACTGATTTTGTGCCTTATCTCTCTTTTAATCTATTCCCTCCTATAAAAATTACAAATGCTATTTTTGAGGAAAATAATTTACAATCTCATGCCTTCATGCATCTTTCACATAGTATTTTATTTACCTAGAAGGCAATTAGCCTTTTCTGTCACTTGACAAACTCACCAATTAAAAAACTGAGCAGTTATCATCTCTTGTCTGAATTCTTCCAACTTACATCATATGACTTAATGACTTCTTTATTTAAACTACATATGCATCTTATCCAATTTCAGGAAAGCCCATAAAGAATTTTTAAAAAGACATGCAAATTTACTCAAATGTGCAGAACATGGCATTAGGCTTATTAAAACACACACTCACACACACACACAAAGGGTTTATAAGAAAACATGGAGATGGGAAATGGATTTTAAAATGGGATCTGAGAATATACAGATAAATCTTTTTTCTTTTTCGAGATGGGTTTGGCTATGTTGCCTATACTGGCCTTAAACCACTAGACTCAAGGAATTCTTCTTCAGTCTGCTAAGTAGGTGGACCTACAAGTGAACATCACCTACAGGCTGGCTCACTGACTGGCCAGTAGTTAACAAACAAGTCAGTTCAGGTATTGTGCTTTTGAGGTTTGTTAGGGTCATCGAAGGAAAACAAAGCTTTTTATAAATTCTGTAAATCACTTTCAGAGTTTAATTGTGGGTAAGGAATGCCAATGTTCCTTCTCTAGGACCCCCTCTTAATTTGGCTAGGTCTATACTAGTTCCCTCCTTGGTATAGTTTCTACACCATACAACTTCTGTGTCCTTGAACTCTCCCCACAACAGACTTCAGTAAAACCCTCAACCTTCTTAAAGAACCTCTTATTTATGTTTCTCCAATGCCTACACTGAAAGTAGAGTAGTTTGATGGAATTTTATAAATCCATATGGTTAACATTAAAAGCATTAACTCTTTCTTACATTGCACATGATTAAGTAAAAAGAGAAACAGGATTTAATTTGATTACCTGTGTCTTACATCATACATCTCATTCCGAAATTCAGAAACTATTATCTGTGGCCGTGAAGTCCCTGGTGGATAAAACCTTTTCATCAGTGCCTGAAGTACTCTTTCATCAGCATGGTTATGGCAACAATAGGCTTGGAGTAGTCCTTTTAAACAGGATTCAATAGCCAAAGCATGCTCAGGGTCCCGAAGATGAATGCAAGCTCCTAAAAATGAGAAAATCATAGACGGACTCAAGATACTTATTTTGCAATATTAATATAATTTTTTATAATTCATAAATGACTTAATATTTTCATATAACGCTGCTTAAATGATATTACAGATCATATTTTATCTCAGCTGAAAATACCCACATACCCACTGGATACCCTAGGGAGGAAACACACCAAATCCTTTGAATAAAACCATCCCACACTAATGTACATCAACAGTGGCTTTTCTATGTTAGTTTACATTTCTGCAACCCTCATTGGTATTTTGAATTTAAGCCTTTATTATTTTCTATAAAACTGCTTTGATTTTTAGATTTCACTGGGGAAAAAAAGTCTCATCCACTGAAATGGATGCTATTATATAAGTACATATTTAAATGAAGAGACATTACTGCCATGGTTAAATGCAACAGCTTAGTATTAAAATGTATTTATGTTTATAGCATCATTTTTACCTAATGGTATACAGAATCTGAGATAACTCCCAGGAGAACTTGATTTAGAAAAATTCAAATGTCAGGTATATATGAAGATTTTAAAATTGAAAGAAAATTTAGAAATTATGATGTCCAGCCTAAACAGAAAACTAAGATAAAGGGGGGGGGGAGAAAAGGAGGGGGCAGGGGGTTAGCAAGGATGGTGGAATGTGATGAACATCATTATCCAAAGTACATGTAGGAAGACACATACTTTATAAACAACCAGAGATATGAAAAAAATTGTGCTGTATATGTGTAATAAGAATTGTAATGCATTCCGCTGTCATTTTAAAAAATCAATAAAAACAAATAAATAAATACAAATAAAAACCTAAGATAAGTCTTTTTATCAGGGCTACATAAAATTCAGGTGAGTGTTCTTTTCACTATATCTTGATGCCACTGGATTATCTCATTAATCAATTACATCCAAATTATTTTATCCAGTTATTCATTTTGGGAAGGAAAAATAAAAGAACCAGACTATTAAACTATTAAGATTCCTTAAGTTTTCTTTCTCAAAAGGATGTTTAATGTTTTATGCTTTACAGGTACAAAAAGAAAGCTACAAAATTTAAAGTGATTTTATCATTATTTTAAAAACTAGTACAATTAAAAGTCCACACAAAACTATATACCTAGCCTGTAATCCAAGCAGCTTGGGAGGCTGAGGAAGGAGGGTTGTAAGTTCAAAGACAACCTCAGCAAAATTGAGGTACTAAGCAACTCAGTGAGACCCTGTCTCCATATACTTAGATTCAACAGACCCCCACCCTTAGTGAAAACAGAAACTCATTCCTAATGTTTATTATAAACTCACTAAATCACGACAAATACCTAAAGGGCCTACAGGTTTATGGGTAAAGTGTCCCCGTCTGTAAGCTTCCTCAATTGCCTCCAAAAGAGCTGGAACATGAGAGCCAAATCTTTTCAGTCTATCAGTTTTACTATCCTTCAGTTCTTTCAATTGCCTCTGATTATAGTTCAGTGCATGCTTCACATCTAGTTCTTCTCCCCTAAAAAATAAAAGCAGAAAACCAGAAGAGACAGTTATACGTACTGTATAAATATGTGACAGTTACATAGAAACAGTTATTGGTATGCCCTTAATTCTTGTATATCATTGAATAACCCAGATACCCTAAAAATGAAAGGCAGAGTTTTTTATTTGAAAATAAATTACACTACAAGACAAAAGTAGTTGGCAGTCCTCAAAACTTACTATAAAGAAAATGTTGCAGAAGTAATGGACCAGGAATCTAAAAAACTGTCCAAATGTAGAAATTTAAGAAAAGTCTTGGAAAAGTTATTTTAAAAGATCCCTTATTTGAAAAACAAACAAACAAAACAAACAACCCTAGGATTTCTCTTCAAATACAAATTAAAGCTATATAAAAATTGAAGTAGTTGAAAAAAATTATTTTAAGGATGTTGCAACTTACCTAATTCTAGTATATTCTTCTTTGTCCTTTTCTATGGCTTGTTGAAACTGTTCAATCTCTTGATTGATTGAATTTTCCTGGTCCTGTAAGGCCTTTACTCTGTCTTTTAACCAACAAATTTTTTTTTGCCTTTCCAACCTCTCAGGTTCCAAAGACTGATCAGTGCTAACAATAAAGAAAGAAAAGTGAAAACTGTTAGATAAAAAACATTTTAAAAGAATAAGCCAATGTATTAGTTACATTAACAATAATACAGAAAATATAATACTCCATTGCACCTAGATTACTTTGTCACAAAAGTATTCATGAAAACTACAAAACAATTACCTTACCTTTTTTTTAGTTCTTCAATTCTTTTACACAGCTGCTCATCATCTTTCTTTAATGCTTTATATTCATTTAGAGAACGGTTATATAAAACCTAAAAAAAAAAAAAAAAACCAACAACAAAAAACTAAACATTCTATAGTAAAATGAAAAAACAAGTATTCCATTCAAGTCTACTGCTGTCAGATTTTCAAATCAGAGGCTAACTATGCACCAAAAAACATTTTTATAAAGTATTCACAGCCACTTGAAATAACTATATTTTTAAAGCATAGAAGCAACACAGATTTTAATTCAGATATACACCCACTTTTAAAAAACAGATGAACAATTCAAAAAAATAGATGAACAATCTTTATATTCACTATGCAGCTTTACTTTTCCGGGTCAGAACATTTTCTCACCTCAGCTTCATTATAGGCCCTTTTCTTAGCAGTGACATCTGCTTTCAATGCCATACATTCTGGTGCTCGTGCATTTGTCTCCTGACTAATCTTTTCTAGTTTATCTTGGATATCCTTGTATTTTTTCTCTGCTTCATTAAGTCTGACCTTTAACAAAAATTACATAATTTGAGTATATCTCATTTTTCATCAATAAAGAGAAGAAAAACTCAAAAAGTTATACAGTTTACATACCAAAAATAAATTTAACTTCACAAGACACTAGGTAAACAAACATAATTATATAAAATACTAAAATGTAACTTAACTTTAATACACAGTTATCCAACAAATATGCTAATCACCTGAGGATACAAATATGAAACAATTGTCTTCAAATAAAACAATTCATGATAAACAGCTTAAAATGAAATCTTCTAGGCTACAAAGGACAAGATATGAACAAATCTGCATGTCAGATCACTCTGAAAGCAAGTGGAAAGCACGATGGTATTTAAAAAAATAAAGGAAAAGGAAATCTTAAGGGAGCAAAATGAGATACTGACAATAGGCAAGGACTAAAGAGGAAAAACTGGTGAATTATTTACACAGGAGTCGCCAATCTTCTCTATGAAAAGGCAGACTTTAGGTGGCAAGGGCCATACTTCTGTACTTCAGGCGTTATGGGCCATAGGGTCTCTGTCACAACTATTAAACTCTGTCACTGTAACATGAAACCACCCAAGGGCAATATGCGGAAGAATTATGGTTTAATAAAAATTTTAAAAAGACTTAGGTGTTACATAAACTAAACATGATTCATGATATGAACATTCATTCAAATCATTTTAAGTTAGGTTCTAAACAAAAAGTTTAAAGTCTGATTTAGACACTTTTATTTGAAGACAGGATCCAATCAAGAGGCACTTAACCACTGATTCACATTCCCAGTCCTTTTTTCACTTTTTATTTTGAGACAGTGTCTTGCTAAGTTGCTTAGGGTCTCACTTGCAATCCTCTTGACTCAGCCTCCCAAGTCACTAGGATTATAGGCATGTGCCACCATACCTGGCCATGAAATACTGCAGAAACCTTCAATTCAAAACTCATTCTACTACACTGTGTACAACCATAGAAACATAAAGTTGTGCTGCAATTGTGTTCAATGAATCATATATACCTAGTTAAAATAAAGAAAGAAAGAAAGGAAAAACAAACCTCAATTCTACAAGTGAAAATCAGGTGTACATTTTGTGAAAGACTTTATGTAAAGGCTGGGAAAGATATAGATAAAACAAGATAGTCCTTACCCTTCAAAAATTTGTCATTTACTGTGAAGATTTTTGAAGAGTGCTGAAATTCTTAAGTGGAGCAAGGTTTACCAAACTAAATATCATGAGAAAAAGAGATATCCAACTATTTCTCTGACTGGGTTCCATAGTTACATCGAGAGATGTCTAAGGAGAAAAATACTTACAGAGAAAATTTCAGAATATTCTCTCAGAAAATCTCTGGTGAGACATGTGGGTATGGTCAAACTTCCATTTATTATCTGAAGAGGGTAAAAGAACCTCATTCCATAGATCACTAAGTAAATGTACTATCTTCACCATTTCTATTGTTTTTGAATACTCAATTATTACCTTTGATGGATTAATGCCATAATCCCTTAAAAGGAAAGCCATGTGTGGTGGCACAATTCTGTAATTCCAGCAACTTGGGAGACTAAGGCAGGTGGATTGCAAGTTTGAGGCCAGCCTTGGGATTCAGTGAGAATCCATCTCAAAATAAAAACATAAATTACCGGGGATATTGCTCAGTGTTTCAACCAACTTCGATCTCTAGGCCCATGGGGAATATATTTATGGTTTTCTTGGATTTTAGACAGAATACTTTTTACATGAGCTTTTAAATTTCAGGTTAAAATTAATCTAGCCTAATAAGTTATCTAACATGTTTCTAGCTATATGACATTCTGACAAGAAATCTGGGTTCTGAGATCTAAAAATCAGTTCCCTTAAAGTTCCATTAGCAATCTCTGAGCATTATTTTCAGTTCTCAATTCTTGAGTTAGCTTTGATATCACTCCATCATTTTGGTACCTCTCATTTCTCAGGTCTTTTGTGTTCCAACTCCTTAAAATGAACCCAAGAGTGAAAGCTTCATTCTAATATCTCTCTGTCATGTCCACATGCCTGAGAGATATGCAACCCTAGATTCAAACAGGTTGAGATAGCCAAACACAATATTTTTTTTAAAAGATGGTTATCTCTTGCAAATGCTAGCCAATCCTTAAAAAACAAATACCAAATGTCTTCTTTGATATAATAAGAGCAACTATGAACAGAGCAGGGAGGAAGAGCAGGAAGAAAAGATTAACATTAAACAGAGACATGAGATGGGAGGGAAAGGGAGAGAAAAGGGAAATTGCATGGAAATGAAGGGAGACCTTCATTGCTATACAAAATTACATATAAGAGGTTGTGAGGGGAATGGGAAAATAAACAAGGAGAGAAATGAATTATAGTAGATGGGGTAGAAAGAGAAGATGTGAGGGGAGGGGAGGGGGGATAGTAGAGGATAGGAAAGGTAGCAGAATACAACAATTACTAATAGGGCATTATGTAAAATTGTGGATGTGTAACAGACATGATTCTGTAATCTGCACTTGGGATAAAACTGGGAGTTCATAACCCACTTCAATCTAATGTATGAAATATGATATGTCAAGAGCTTTGTAATGTTGTGAACAACCAATAAAAAAAAATAAAAATAAAAATAAAATAAAATCCAAATGATAAAAAAGAAGAAACTAGACATATTTTGAATTATTTCATGTGATAGATCTCAGACTGATGTTTTAAGAAAAAGAGTATTGAAAAAAAAAAAAAGATGGTTATCACCATAGTCCTCGGAATGAGTGTAGGTCTACTTCAACTGAACAAGAAATTCAAGTATAGATAAAATATAGGTTTAAACTGCCACTTTTGTAGGCCATAAGTTATCTAATATCAGCAATCTCACAGGATTTAACCTAATACATCTGTATAAAAAGATTTAACAACCTGTTGTTCTTCCATTTTCCTATCAAGTCTAGCAGCACGATCTTCTCCAATTTTGATATTATCTCTGATAGCATTCAATTGTTTTTCAATTTCGTTGACCTAAAAAGAAATTATACAGCAAATCACTGAGACTAGCAGTCCCCAAATATACTGCATGTTACAAATATATGTGAATAACTAATTAGGTGAAAATTACCACTGCCCAAGCCATTTCATGTTTCAAATACTCTAAATTAGTCTTCATTGTACTTAAGCCAGCGATACTCTGAAAACGTTCTTCTTTCTCCAAACACTGGCGCTTTAGTTCAGTAAGTCGCTTAAAATGAGAGGGGAAAAAAGGATATATTTCTTAATAACATTAAACATAAATTTTTTTACAAATTTATTTATTTTGAAAACAATGCCTATACAAATACTATATAAAGATTTGTTAGAAAATTACTAAATTGAAAATAAATGGTTCTTTGGCATACGTTTGCTAGTGCAATAGTTTTGCTAATTTCTGCACTAAAAATTGGGCCAAATATTCTTCAGATGAAGAAGAGCACAGGAATTAAAGGTCAAAACTACACAAGTATAGATAAGTGCCAAAATTCACTGTCCCATTTTCTCTCTTTATTCCATATATGAAAGATAGGCTGATTTATCCTTAAAACATAATCAGTACCCATTCCAAAGATAATTGAAAAATTAGAAGTGATTTATTCCTCAAAATATTTTTCATAAACAAAATCACCAAATATCAAGTATCAAGTCATGAGATCAGCTTGTGAAGGGCTTCCAGACTTCATATTCTGTGTACCTGATATAGTCTTTCCCCTTCATTCATGCTTTCCATACCCTATAAGACCCTTAACATTGTAAACCTTACTTCCCCCCACATTCAATTCACTTTCCCTTTCTCTAGGATAATTTTGATCCATTATCACTCTTTTCAAATCTCATACACAACTGTCATCTGGCTCCCTCACTCATTCTCCCTGCCTCCGGCTTCAGAGCATATAAAAGCCAGACAGGAACTCCCTCTTACTTCCAATAATCTAATCTATTAATGTAAAGCAGCCCTATTGCAAAAGACAGGGGGCTTCATTACACCTAAATCCAGCCTCTATCTCTGCACAGAATGGACTTTATCCCCTTTGACTCTCAATGGTCTAAATCCACTTATTTTCAATTTTATCTTTTCATTCTTCTTTCCACCTGACCCTCTTCATTAACTCCTTTCCATTACTTTGCTTTAAACTTTATGTACTTATTTTTTGAGAAACAAACAAAACCACCACTACCCATCCCTATCCCTACCTCTTCCTCTAAAATTCTTCCTTTTTCAACCAAATTTCACCAAAATTATCTCCATCTTTTCCATTTTCTCGAATTTTCCAGCTCCACAAGTCTGGAAACTGTTTTCCCCCAGTAATGAAATCTGTCTTGCCACAGTCATCTATAAAGATTATTGTCACTGAATACAGTTCGTTTTTGTCAATACTCATAGTATCTGACCATATATTGCATAATCGTGACTTATTCAATCTCAATTCTCTCTTCCCTTGGCTTATATGGATTCCATGACCATTTCCATGGCTGAGACTTGGATCTGCCTTTCCTCTCCCTCTCAGCAATCAAAATTATTCCTATGACTTAAATAATATATTAATAACTGCCAAATAAAGGCCAGACTTGATATCTGTATTCTTCACATAATATGCAACTTTCCATTTTACAATTTCATTTGGATATCACAGAAACACTTCAAAATTAATGCATTCAAAATGATATTGTCTTAAAAACAAAACAAAAAAGCCAAAGAAAACCAGCTCCTTTTTCCAAGTTTCCTGACTCAATATACTCTACTGCCGAAACGATTAATCTGAAAGTCAATCATCCCTGATGCTTCCTGTCTCATCTTTCCCCTCCATGCCCCACACATCGACCCAAATAATTTCAAAGTTCTTCTTCCTCTCTACGAACAATGATACCTTCTTTGTTGATCTCCCTACATCTGTTCTTTCCTTATTGTAACTCACTCTCTTCTATAGCAGAATCTAGAGAAAACAGAAATTTAATCAATTCATCCACTTTCATGTCTTCCACTACCCGTGAGTTGTACAAGGCCCCACATAATCTTGACCTCTTATCTCTAACTCCTGTGTTCTTCATCCTAGCTATTCTATAATTCTTACAGTTTTTCAAACTGTAAGAAAGCATCAAAGGCTTTCTAGCCCACCTCTACCATGTTATTTCTTAAAACACCCTTCCTTACTCTCACCATCTTTTGCCTGGTATTATTCATTCTTCAGTCCTCATTTTACATATCACTTCCTCAATAATTCCTCCCTGTTGATACCAACACCCACTGACAGCACCCTACTAAGTGCTTTCTACAAACTGCCAAAGTCTATAGCTCCTTTGGTAGTGCTCATCTTAATCACATCATTTACTATCTATATTTCCTACTGAATGGTTAAGTCTAGGACCTCAAAAACATTGATATTAATTTTGTCACTATATGCCTATGGACAAAACACAATGCTATGTATGTATATAATATTTGCTGATAGAATCATTCCTAGTTCCAACTTTCATGTACTATTTCTTGAAGATTTAACTATTCAAATCTAGAGTTTGAGATTAAGGGGCATTTACTCAATTAGAAAAACATTTCTTATTAATTTTATGCAGGCAGAATTCTGCTACAAGATATAAGGAAGAACTTTTTTTTTAAATATTTTTTAGTTAGACACAATATCTTTATTTTTTTATTTATTTTTAAGTGGCACTGAGGATGGAACTCAAGGCCTCACACGTGCTAGGGGAGTGTTCTACAACTTAGCCACAACCTCAGCCCTAGGGAAGAAATATTTTTAACTATTGAAGACAAAGTATACCATGAAGAAAGTGGGGCTTTAATCCCAAGTATCTCAAGAAACAAATTCCTTCAAAGTATCAATTTATAATTTTTTACAATAATTATTGTAGTGTATCCTATGTGTTTTTAAAAAAATATGCAAATATTTTCCTTCCCCAATAATGATAAATAGTCTAGGAGAATGTGCTGTATTAATTCTATGGGTTATAGTAGACCCTTGCACACCACATAATCTAGGTGTGAAAGAATGATGTGGAAAAAAGTAAACTTGATTTCTTAGTTTTCACTTCTTGAACCACACAATTACAATTATAAACCTAAGTTAAAATATGCATTTCTTAAAATTTTTTTAGAAGCATAAGTCAGTCATTAGTAAAATTCTGTCTCACAAGTTCAAGCTAAAAGTTGCTGAAAGCCCAACTAGTTTTTAAAACTAAACAAAAGAACAAGAAATGGAATCATGTAAAACAGGTGGGATTCAATGTAGTATTTAAATAGCTAAAATGTTTTAATCTTATATGACTGTGAGGTGTGTTATTATTAGACAGAAGTATATTCAGAAATATAAAGAAAGTATAAGAGCAAAATATAGCTGATGTAAAAATAAACTGAAGTGATGGTTGACAGAAGTGTTGTGTTTGGATATGAGGTATCCCTCCCCCAAATCCTGTGCTAACTCAGGAGATGAATTGATTACTTTCTGAGCACTCTAATATGAACAGCAGGTGAATCCACTTGATGAATTAATAATTTTAATGAATTACTAGGTTTTAACTACAGGTATGAGCAAACTGTAACTGAAAGAAGTAGGTCACTGGATGTGTGCTTTGAGTATTATATATTTTGTCCCTGGTTCTTCCTACTGAATGTCATGAGGTAAACAGTTTTCCCCTGCCACATTCTTCCACCATAATGTTCTGCCTCACATCAGGACCAGAGTGATGGAGTCTGATGACCATGGATTGAAACTGAGCCAAAATAAACTTTTTCACCTTTGAGTTGTTCTCGTCAGGTATTTTGGTTACAGTGAAAAAGTTAATACAGGAAGTGACTTAAAATTCTAGCAATCTTCATGATTGACAAGTTGAAGAGTACTGATATGACATCTACTACTGAGTTATCAGTAGCTTAAAGAATGTTAACATTAGAATACAATAATCATCTACCCTATGTAATTATAAATTAATATTGTTTAATATCAACTTGAGACTTGCTTATTAGTCCAGTACAATAAATGTTAGTTTTAAAATTATTTATAGTGGGGCTTAGGGATATTTTATTATGAAACTAATTATAGTCATGTATCAAAGAATAAGAAAACAAGATGGTGTCATGTTCTCTAGTTTATGGTCTAATGCAGAAGACAGGTAAAGATCCATTATTACAAAGCAAAAAGTAAAGGCTAATAATATCCTACACATAAAAACCACAACACATCACATACTTCACACAGAGTGCTTAAAAATGTTAGTTTTGTTCAGATATATATCAGTACATAGGTATATAATTTTACCATACCATTTATCTTAAGTACTATAGAAATTTGGCTAATTTCAAAAAGATTTACACTATCTACAAACCTCTTCCCCTTGATTTATCTGCTCCTTTGTTCTTTCTTTTGTTTCCATAATGTATGAATAATCTTCCTTCATCTGTTCAAGTTGGGTTGCTTTCATGAAGAACTTTATCAACAAAAAGAAAAACATAATTGAGAATTAATAAACTTTCATAGAAAAGTGTAAAAAATACAAAGAGAAATTTTGTCCATAAAAAATTTTAGACCAATTATTCAAAGATATTAAAAGCACAGCACGTATACATAAATACAACAGAATACATCTAATTTTATACTTGAATTTACTGAACTTGCTATAAGTTCACATCTGTACATTTATTCGCAAAAGCTCTTAAGCCCATGAGGGGAGAAAAACACCTTAAGGTATGATGATAATAATATTCTGAAAGCTCATTTTCACCAACTGTTCCATTCTTGAAGCAAAAATGACAGGAAATATTCTCATCTTTGATCTTAGTTCATCTTCAACTTTTAGACTATGAAATTCAAACTCTTTCAAAAGGCTACAGTAAGTTTTAGTACTAGTTGGTTGATGCCTTTTTTAAGTTTTAAATAAATTAAAGTTTACAAGTTATTATGTATAGTCAATTGTTGCCTTATATTTTCTTTCAAAAAATAAAAAAAATCTATTTTTTCAAAATAAAAACCAAAAAAAGCAAGAATGTACCAAGAATATTATACTTAGACCTTATTCAATAATTTTATAATCTAATATTACTTTAAGTAAGTGCCTTTGAGGAAAAAGAATCAGTATCTACATTAACAAGAATACTACTTGGCATACATCTAGATGTACTGGGGGGTTAAGTTTGTATTTACTTTGGTAACTCTTACTTTGTATTTGTCTCCCTCATTTTTAGACTGCAAGAACTGCTTACTCATCTCTTGTGTTAAAATAGAAACTGGATTATCCACCTAAAATAAACAAAAAACAAAAGTTCACTTTTAAAAATTTCACTTTGATGCCTTAAAAATAAAGTGAAATATACATTATAATTGACTCAGGATATCATCAAAATGGCTAACAGACAGTTGCCAATGGTTACAACATCAGGGTAAAAATATATAGAAAATGTCACAAATTTTTTAACACAGGGAAATGTTTCAAAATTTCATAATACCAAACAAATAAAGAAAGAAAGAAAAAAAACCACTATAGTCAAAATTAAACATTTTTCCATAATAAGAGGATACAAGCTCAAGAACCCTCTGAGGTGCTGGTATTACAATGTTTCTACTTTCGTCTTTTTTTTTTTTTTTTTTGTGATGCTACGATTGAACCCAGGGCCTTGCCCAAGTGAGGGAAGCACTCTACCAACTGAGCTATATATATATATCCCTGGCTCTCATCTTATTCTATAGATGACCATTCCTATGTCCCTGGGATCACAGCTGTCAAATATGAGGATGGTTCAATTTCTCGATCATATACTTCGAGTGATCAAGAGCCCATGTAGCTAGAGACTACCAAACCAGACAGAAGAGATACAGGACATTCCTACCACAACACAATGTTATTCTGGATAGCTGTGATTAAACCAAACTGGGGAAGAGACACAAACTATTAATTGTTCTTTCCCTTTGATGATAAGTTTTGTCAATCTTAATCTTGGGATAGGGAACAAAGGATAAAGAAATAGAATCAAACAGTGATGCCTGATTCCAATCCAGGCTCTACCACCAATCACATCTAGACAACCTGAAGTACAAATTTACTTTCTCTGGCTCCCAGTTTCTAACCTGCAAACAAAAGGGTCTGAAGCAGACGATCTCTAAAGACAATTTCAATGCTAATATTATAATTCCTTGTGTGTCCCATTTTCAATTAAGTCCGCTAAAGTATCTCAGCCAAAAAGATTCAATCCTTAGTTCCTACAAACATGACCAATAACTTCAAAATACATACAAAAAATTTGTTCTTTCTAGAATAAGAGTTTTTTTCCTTCTCAAAAATTAAGCAACTGAGAATAAGAAACAAAGATGCTACTTTGATTATAGTTGAAAGCAAAAAAATTTTATAGCCTTATCAATTTTAAATTTCAGCATATACTAATTTGGATTAGATGTTCCTTACTGCTGCACCAAAGTAAGATGTCATGTACTTAAAATAAATCATGTTGAATTAGCATATTTTAAAGAACTTCACTAGCAACAGTATATGTATAGTATGTACTTCCTGTGTTTATATCACTCCTATCAGAACATTTTAGTTATCTATATAACACAAGTGAAACCACACCAAAAACTACTAGTTGCATTAATTCAAAACACAAATTTAGCAATTACCTGGATATTAAAATGATCCAGAATTGCAATTAGTTCTTCTTTCCTAGTAGAAACCACAGCACCTGATTATGAGAAACATGAAATAATCATACTGCTTCTAGGGCAATACAGAAAAAAGTATAACTATCTATTAAATATAAATATTAATGACCTTTCATTGTATCATCAAGAAAAGTATCATTAAATATGTGTAAGTCTGAGTGAACTGGGGATAAAAGCCTACTTATGACTCAGGAATACAGAAGAGGAAAATGTGCCCTTGTGCAGTAAACTTTAAACTTTCATCTCTTTCTTTATGTCCTTTTCTTCCTTAACTATTTCTTTCTACAGGCTATAGAAACTATAGAAATGAAAGGAGATCTGTAGTTGAGAACAAAATGGCACATTTTGTTTCTTTCTTTCTTTCTTTTTTTGGCAGTGGGTGCAGAGGGGGTAGCAGAGATTGAATTCAGGGGCACTCAACCACTGAGCCGCATCCCCAGCCCTATTTTATATTTTATTTAGAGACAGGGCCTCACTGAGTTGCTTAGTGCCTCCCTTTTGCTGAGACTGTCTTTGAACTCGCAATCCTCCTGTCTTAGCCTCCAGAGCTGCTGGGATTATAGGTGTGCGTGCGCTACTACACCTGGCCAATTTTTCTAATTTCAAACTGCCCAATTTTTCTAATCATGATCTTGCCACTAGAATGTCCTGTGATAAAACATGCATATAATACATGCATGTACCTATATGTGTGTATGTATGCATACATACAAATCAACCACAGTATAAGAGGTTTCAAGAGACTGGGAAGAAGTGTCCTTTCAATGTACTTATTTATTTACTAACAATTCATGTGGAAAAAAAAAAGAAAAATCAAACCAAACCTGTTTCACTTTTTAGTTTATAGGATCGACTTCCATCCATGCTGATGTGTTGTTGTACAACTATGGAATCACCATACACATTTGCTCTATAGGCATCATCTCCTCTGTTCCTTAATGTTATTGTGATATCTGCTGAGCTAAAACAATGAAGATAAGTCACATAAAGATACAGTTCTATTGCAATAGTAGGATACCAGATTTTCAAATATTTTCAACACCCCCAAATAACAGCTAATTCACTGAAAACTACATCAACAGCTGATGACAGTGGTCTACAACAGCATGTTAAAAATATTGTGCCTGACAAAAAAGTTGAGAACAGAAGCTTGATAAAAAATAATTCACTATTGTATGCATAATAAAAATACTAAATTTGTGCAATCACTCTTAAGTATTGGTTGTTCCACGCCTTGAATTTAGGCATTTTCCTATAAGGACCATGTAATCAAGTCATACACATAAGTTATTCATTTTTAACATTATACTGCCTACTATAAATTACATAATAAAGAATCATACGAACAGCTGCCTTTAAGAATGATAGATTAAGAATCATAGTACTTAAAGTAATAACAGTTTCTAAAAGGATTATAATTAAGAGAGGCAATGATGATTTTTTAATTAGTTGGCAATGAGAAATTAAAATGTCTGATATCAAGAGACATAAACTGGGGAGAGTAGAAGTGGATAAATGGTGAAAGATTAATTAATGAATATTAGATTATAGTTAGGACATGAAACTCTGGTATGCTACTGCATGTGGCAGGAAAACTATAGATGACAAGGTACCATACATTTCAAAAAGCTAAAAGATTGTGAATCTTAGGCTGGGGTGTGACTCCGTGGTAGAACACTCGCCTATACATGTAAGGCCTGGGTTTGATCCTCAGCACCACGTAAGAATAAATAAATAAAATAGAAGTATTGTGTCCAACTACAACTAAGCTTCATTATCATTAAAAAAGAATTACTTTGAAAGAGTTATAATGCAGCCTAATACATGTGAATATTAAAAGTATAAATCTGCCTGGCAGCCTGTTATTGTTTTTAAAGCTTTTAACAAGTTTAAAGCATTTATAGCCATGAATATCTTAAGATACATGGGGGGAGGGGGGGAATCAATCATTTGCCTGGGAAAAACTCATTAATGAACACTTAATAATTTGCTTATATACAAAGGCAGACAATATTTTCTCTGATTCATATGAAAATCTGCCCAAATACTAAAGTCTTGATATAAAACCGTTTTAATTAGCAATTAAATGAAACCTTTAACAAACTTGTTTTCAGGAATTTGCAAACATATTCCAAAACTTCCCATTTACAGAAAATGTAAGAAAAAATACTCAGGATGAGCTTCACTATAAACTACTGACATGACAGGAAGTGTCTGCTGCTCTCTTGCTTTCCCTTCCTCTTTAAAAGTTCCCCCCACAGAAAGAAAGGGCTTAGCATTCCTATCATTCCACATCCCCTCCTGCCTGGACTGAGCTAAATCTAGAACTCTGTACTAAGGGAGCAATCAGATTCTCTTCTCTTTTAAAATTCAACTTGAGAAGAATTGTTTAAATCCCAAAATAGCCTTTATTTTAGTTAACATCATACTAATGTCCACTATATAGCTTTAGTTATGTAAGACGCCAACATTAAGGAAAATGGGTGAAAAATATACAGAAAATTATTGTACTATCTTTGCAACACTTATGTTTAAATGTTTTCAAAATAGTTTTTTAAAATTCAAATTTAAATATCAAGAGAGAGTGATTCCTTGGAGCTATAAATTATGAGGACTCTATAAGTACAGAAACCAATTTGGTACATTATTATTTCTCTTAGAGAAAACAAAGAACATAAAGATAAGATCTTTGGGAAATCACCTAGACAGGCTGACAGAAAGAACCACATACCCACAGATACTGGCAGTGAATCTCAGATGTAAAGAATACAATATTATCTCTCTCTCTCCCTCTCTCTCACACACACACACATACACAAACAGAAACTCGTACACCTGAAGACACAGTGACAAAACTAAACTGAAGAGGAAGAAAGCACACACAAACTCCTGTAGAGACAATGAGAAAGAACAGTTACATACCCACGTGGGTCACAAGGAGAGAGGAAGGAGGAGAGAACACACAGAGAAGTATAGCCAGTGAAGAAAGAAGAGTGCAAGAGATGCTGCAGAACAGACCCAAGGAAAGGAGAGGGAAACAGAGGCCCAGAGACAAAGATACACACAGAGACAACCAGACAAAAACAAAAGAGGCTGCGGTTCCTTAGTCTGATTCCTCATGAGATCCAGCCATACTTTCTCCCTGCAGCTTCCCAGAAATATGTTCCTACATCTTTATGGTAAACATCCTTTACTGGAGCCACCTGAGTAAATTGTTAATAATTATATTACTTATTTATGTTTTAGCCAAATTACCTAATTTAAACAGAGTCTGGTCCAGTGACATATGCCTGTGATCTGAGACTCTGGAGGCTGAGTCAGGAGGAGTACAAGTTGGAGATCAGCCTCAGCAACTTAGCAGGATCTTGTTTCAAAATTAAAAGAACTGGGGATATCTCCGGCTAAAGCTCTATAGGGTTCAATCCCTAGTACCAAAAAAACCAACAAACAAAACTCACAAAAAGTGATATGTGTACACCTGTAATCCCAGCAGCCGGGGGTGGGGGTGGCTGAGACAGAAGGATAGCAAGTTCAAAGTCAGGCTCAGCAAAAGCAAGGTGCAAATAAGCAACTCAGTGAGACCCTGTCTCTAAATAAAAAATACAAAATAGGTCTGGGGATGTGAGTCAATAGTTGAGTGCTCCTGAGTTCAAACCCCAGTACCCAGGGGGGGAAAAAAAAAAAGATATGTTCCTGAAAAACTATAACTAATGAGATTTTTATTTCCCCGATTGATTATATACAAACAGAAGAACCACTAACAGAAATAGGACAGAGGAATGGCCAATAGCCTGAGATATGGAGAAAATAACTATTTTATTTCATTAATGACCATTACTACTAAGAATTAAGTTAATACACCTCATGAAAACATTTTCAAAACAACTACATATATTTGCTCTATCTACATTACCAACATCTCTCTTAATTAACAAACATCTACTTTATTATGTTCATTCCTAGCTACTCCTTCCATTTGAAAGCTATTTTTAATATATTTGGAACTTTATGCTCCTACTCTTAAGTTTAATAAATACAAGAAAAGTTTTTTTTGAAAAATTAATTTTTATGAAATAAGCCTCCTAATAAATGCTCAAAAAAAATTCTGCATAAGGAAACAGGAAAAAGCAAGCTATCAGGGCAATAACTTTACTGTCTCCCCCTTTGTGGACTTTGCTGAGGCTGAATTTGGGCCAAGAACTATACCCAATGTCTATAAATACAGGAGACTACAAAGTAAAAATAGATACTATAAACGAAAGTTCTTCCAGAATGACAACATGTCACGAGCCATCCATGGGTTGAGTATGGGTCACCGGGCATTAAAGCCTACTGGATACAAACATCTGGTGTCTGGGAATGACCAGTGGACACTTTTACTGGTCAACTGCCCGGGGACAGTGTGAATTTCTATCCTGCTCTGCCGCGGCCCACACAGCACCTGAGATGGGTGTGAACTGTTAAGATGCCAATCAACCTGTTGACTCCAAGACATCAAGAAGCAAGACTCCACCCTTGAAGCCTTTATCCCTGCCTTTGATATACCCCCATAAATAAGCCACCAGAGCCATCTTTCCTTTGTCTAGTTCCAGCCCCCATGTGAACTAGATCTATCGGGGCTCTGCTTTATGTAAATATACTTCTGATTATTTGTATTTTGTTCTTCACTAATTAACTTAGACTTAATTAACTTAAGTTTCCAGGTGGCTTCTACCCTCCTCAGCAAAAAGAACCCCACAATGAGACGCTGGCCGCTGCCCCCATTAACAACATAAGCAGTACCACAGTAAAAATTTGGTTTCTTTCTCAATTACATAAGAATCCGACTACCCAATGAGAGCCAGTAGCAGCATACTCCAATGGAAATAGCAACAAGACAAACTTAATGTAAAAATATGATGCATCTGCTCTCTGGGTACTGAGTTCCTTACAATAAATTTCATATCCTTAACTAAGTAAATTAATAGCAAAAAACAGAGCATGAGTTTTTGTCCCTCCATAACCATGGCATAGCTGATATGAAAAACATAACAACTGCAAATATCCCAGGGCCAATGAAGCTAGTATTAGAAAGGCTGGGAGTGGAAAGAAGGAACTGAACATATTCAAGCAAGTGACCTAAGGCCTTGTTACACATAGAGACATTTTCATGTGACAAAGTACATTAGGAGAATTCATTCACTGACCCCACACCACTGCAAAAGGTTGGTGAACAATCAGAGGACTGAATTCCAGGAAGTGTCTCTAGGCAGAATTCTCTGGCATCTCCTAACCATGTTAACCAAGTATCTCCAAGAAGAATTAAAATACCCATGAAAAGGAAGCCTACAGCCTGGAAGGGGCACAGTGTTTTGAGATGGAGGGAGAGTCTTCAGGACAACCTCAAGCTTGTGCCAGATTGACAAGCTCCAGGCAACACGGGACAGCTACAGAGGCTCTAGATGTGGAACACAGAAATATGCACAGAGTTGAGAATCTCAATTAGTCCATTCTCCAAAACAGTGATGACAGAATCAGAGTGTATTAAGCAAAGGAACTTTTACAGATACCAAACATTTCAAAGAAAGGATGCTAAAAAGAACAGAAATGGGTTTGGAAACGCTCTGCTTTTAGCTCCATTTTAAGATAAAGTCAGTAAAAAGAAGACTAAGCTCAGGTTAAAGATTTTTTGCTGTTATTAAGTCTGTTTTCAAATATATTAATGTTCCCCACTACAGGCAGTCATGTCCTTTAAAGCCAATGATTTGTGTAAGCTAGTATATGTATTTTTTAAAATAGTATTCAGGACAGCTCTCAGTAAGAAGTTTCTGCTTTAATCCAAGTACTTACCAAAGGAAAAACTAAAATCTGAAGTACTTGAGTCATACAACATTGAACGATACATAAAAACATCATTTCTTCCTGAAACTTTTATTTAAAAGAGTCACCTATTATCTGGCTAAGTAAATGAGGTGACTGGACACCTAAGAAACCAAGTTAAGTATAATTAAAGAGTTGGGACCATTTACTTAAAAGTGTTAAAAGTAATGAATTTTTTACTTCAGACATGATTTTATTTAGAGGGAGGAGGAAATCAGAAGACTTTATTGGGCTGGGACCCAAATAAGATAAATGGAAATGGAAGAAACTATATTAGAGAATTGACATCAAGTAGTTCTCTTCAAGGCCACATAACATGGGAAATTATTTTTTGTATATCTTTTATTCTCTTGTATCAATTTGGAATCCTAGCTTAAAGTTAAGATTCCTCTAAGGCTTTTGAGCATACAAAAGCTGGCAATCCAGATTCATATCCTATACTCATTCTATTTTTGAGTAATAAAACAAGAATTTAAATCGATACCAACAACAAAGAGAAGGAAAACCTAATACAGGACAAAAAGATATCAGTGTTAATCATCAAAGCTTCCAAAGTTCTGGGCATTGAATGCATGAGAGAAAAATGAAGAGCCTCAGGCTAGACGAGAACATAACAGTTTGGGACATTTTGACTGTTATGAGAAACAAGAATCCCCTCAGAGATTTCTGGGGTAGTATGAAAGAGAATAAAGAGATCACCCTGGAGAGACAGCTGCTAGTGGCAAAAGACAAATGATACAAACCTGACATAATATATGACATAATATATGGTTATATACTACGAGGGTAATACAGGACAAAAAGTAATATGAACATAAAGCAAAAGACAGTCACTACTGTGATATGACCACTGCATATGGGTCTGGATAAATCTACAAAGAGATTTATGGTGATTATTGTCCTCAAATCAAACTCACTGGACAAAGGAAATAAAAGGAGAATCAGAGTAGAATTCTTCCCAGAAATTCTTAAAAAGCTAGATAGAAACTTTGTGCAGAAACACTTGACCAGTCACTGACTTTGCTCTCACCCCTATCATATTAACATGGCCTTGCTGATGCTGGAGGTTGGCTCTATAGCCAGGAAGGTGTAATGTTTATAAATATCCCTTTATTAACAGAATACATAGATCTATCATTGCTACTGATTCCAAAGAGGTAACAGAAGCATGACTGTAGGAGGACAGGCAAATGGCAGGAAGTTACACAAACTATCTGAAAGCTGAAGACAGCAGGCAACAGTGGGCCACGTTAGCAACAAGGGGAAGAGAAAGGAATGAAGATATGGAACCTCTGTTCCCATTCTGGGAAGGCACTTTATGCCCATTCAAGTCTACATGAACTGGGAATCAAAAGCAGCTCTTTCTTACTGAAGGAATGAAAACACAAAGAGAACAAACACTTACTTCTGTCCATCTTTCACAAATCCTTTTAAAGAGGATCCTCTATTAGTAGCGACTGCTTTTCCACCAAGACCAACTATAAGAGCTGTGAGTACCGCACTCTTTCCACCTAAAGAAACAGGTGTTGAAGAAATCACATTCATTAAAAAGTCGACTTCTACAAATTGATATAAGACTACAAAATGAATCAGTCTCATTCAGAAATGTTATAATTCAATCTTCATTTTCTTCCAGTATCAAAGCAGCAAACTTTTAAAAGATTTGTAAAAATCATGAAATATTTAGCTGCCACTTTTAGGAAAAAATTAGTTTATTTCAGGAATTAAGTTTCTGTCACTAATAAGGCAGCGCAAAGAATAACTATGATACCTTTCCAATCTGAAACTCACTATATTGTCTTGGCTCATCAGCCTTGTACATGAACTTATCCCTCTACTTAAATAAATATGCTTTATGTAACTTTAACTACATTTTAAGTACAATTTTTGCTTTTTCCACAAATTCTCAGACATCAAAACTATTTTAACATCTTTCAAATATAAGTTCCATATGTACAGGAATTGTCTCTTTCATTCAATGTTGTACTCTCAGTTTCAGCACAAATAGATTACCCACAAATCTGCTGAATGAATAAATGGACTTAAATAGGAAAAAAAAACTAGCAAAAACCATAAAGATGTTTTTATATAACATTTTGATATTATTCCCAACTTGAGTATTCATTTTGTAGCTTTCTGAAAAGTCTTACTTCTATCCTAACAGATATAAAATATCAAAAGCTCCAATTTCAAAATCTCTAAAAATTACTCAGAATATGGCAATCTTTTCTGAACTCCATGATCAACAAAGCTAACCAATTCATCAGCCCATTATTTTCCACAATATACCCAAAATTAGCCAACATATATACCAATGATTAATCCAAGTTACTTCCTGGAATGACGTTCAAGTTCCTATTCTAACTCTCTCTTGCTTCCTTTTCTCTTATTACCAAATAATACCACTTGCATTATTTCCCCTTTCTATTATGTTTAATAAAATAATTGTTCCAAAGGTTTAAAAAAAAAAAACACCTAAATTCAGAACCCAGGAATCTTTATTTCTTGTCTCATGTGATCTCTCTAGCACTGCTCCCTTTCTCTGTCCATGCCCTCTTCCTAAAAACCACTGACTTCGGGCTGGGGCGGTGGCTCAGTAGTAGAGCGCTCACCTAGCATGCATTGGGTTTGAACCTCAGCACCACATAAAAGTAAAAAAATAAATAAATAAAGATATTGTGCCCACCTATAACTAAAAAATAAACAGTAAAAAAAAAAAAAAAAAAACTAAAAACTAAAAACCAGTGACTTCTTGATTAACTGGAGAAGAGAGAAAAAAGAACAAAGCAGACACTGGAGCTACACATGTCATCTCCTATGCCAGCCAGCACTGTCCCCAGGTTGTAGACTATGGCATGCCTCCTCTCCTTATGCACTATTTTGGTGGAGCTATCAACACCTGGCACCTTGCTGGCCTAACACAAGAGCTGCCTAAGTAAGTGGTCTTTCTGTCTCCTATGTTTCCCCATTTCTAATCTATCCTCCACAATGTGGCCAGTTTGTCTCAAAATTCCTGGCTGTGTCATTCCTTTACTCAAAGTTTAACTGGCTCTAACATCTGAAAAATTCCAAAATCTTAATTGTGACATTCAAGATCCTTTTTAGCATACTCTACATGTCAGAGCCAGCTTTTGATGCTCACTATACATACCACCATATAAGGTTATTCACCATTCCCCATACACTCTTAGCTATTCCTCCAAACATCTGAGGATGAGCAATCTTTGCCTGGAACATTTCACATTCTTCCCAAATGAGACATACAGAATCTATAATTTTCATTCAAGAATCAGCACATAAATATATCACTGCCACATAAAAGTTTCCATTGGTTACAAAAGTAAGAATTATTATTTCATGTTTAGATTCCCAAAGCACTTCTTTATGCTCTTATAATATTTAGACAAGGTAAGATACAAGGCTGCCTCAATTTCATTGAGATAGCTTGTCCATTCTTCTATGGTGCTGATTTCAAGGTAAAGAGATTTTTAAAATATGCAGGAAACTGTTGGGTGCAGTGACCCACATGCATTAAATCCCAGCTACTCAGGAGACTGAAGCAGGAGGATCCCTTAAACCCAGGAGTTCCAAATAGGCCTGGACATAGTGAGAGACTCATCTCAGGAAAAAAAAGAAATATTTAGTCCTACTGCTTAAATAATGTATTTAAAGTTAACTCAATATATTCTTGAAGTTTAGGATGTCAGTATCTAGTGAGAATATTCATAACCACAAGTTAAAGACCCATAAACAAAGTATTTATCAGTAGTAAGAGTTATCAGTTTCAAAAAGTGAATGCATTCTCAAAGTACTATTCAGTCAAAAGAGGAGGGTAAAAGCACTTACTTCCATTGTTGCCAACAACAAAGTTGACATTAGAACCAAATTTAAAGGGTCCAAGCATTGAATGGCACATGAAGTTTCTTAGATGAATACTCTCAATTATTCCAACTTCTGCTGCAGTCTATTAAATTAAAAAGGGGGGAAAAAGTCTAATTCACTCATTATAAAAATTCAAAATTTTGTTGAAAGACCAGCAGTATTATCAATGAAAAAAGCTACCAAAAGTGAATAATGGTAATGTCAATAAAAAAAGATGAAATTAAATGCTAATCTTTTATGAGTCACCATTAATTATAGAATTTTTAAAGAATATAATAATTTTATCACAAAGTTAATATTGTCATATTTATTTATTTGGTCAGATAATTTTTTTGTTGGTAGGGGAAATCTGTTCAACACATTGTTTTTATTTTATGGTTTATACAGCTGGCATTAAGTCTCTAAGAACTTTGTAGACAGTCATAGGGACAGTGTTATTTACATTATTTTTCTCCTCTCCAACTTCCATATCTTGTTTCCTTTTCTTGCTTTATCAGGCACTGTATAAATCTCACAGCACAATGTTGAATAAAAGTGATGAAAACAGATACTCTTTTTTTTTTAACCTTTATTTATTTGAACCCAGTGCCTCATACATGCCAGGCAAGTGCCCTACCACTAAGCTACAACCCCTAACCTTGATAGTCCTGTTTTACTGTTGATCTTCAGCATTCAATGTTTCACCAGTAAGTATGTTGTTAGCTGCAACTTTTTCTCTCATGACTACTTATGATGTTAAGTAACTTTCTTCTATCCCTGTTTTTCTAAGTTTTAATCATGCAGGAATGTCAAATTATGTCAAACACTTTTGGCCCCATCCACTGCTTTGATCATATGCTTTGTCTTCTTTAATCTATAATATGCTGAATCACAAGGACTGATTTTCAGATACTGATCCAGGCTTGCATGCTTAGAATGTATTTCATAATGTATTTTTCATATTTACTGTTAAGTTCTATTTTCTAGTAATTGTTAAAGATTTCTGCAACCATATACACGAGGTAAATGCATATGTCGTTTTTTTGTTCTTGCTTTTGTTTTTTAGTTCTTCTTTGTCTGGATTTGGTATCCAGATAATGAAGTGAAGTGTTGCCTTCTCTTCTGTGTTCTTGAAAAGAATATGCAGAATCCATGTTAATTCCTACCTAAAATATTTGCTACAATTCTTGAGTGAAACCAACTGAGCATGGAGATTTCTTTGCTTAAGTAGGATATTAAAGTATGAATTAAAGTTTCTCAATAAATACAGAGTTATGCAAATTATCTCTTGTACATCAGCTAGGTCGTCGTCGTTTTTCCTTTCCAAGAAACTAGTCCACTTTACCTAAATTTTCATATTTACATGTATAGAATTGTATATTAAAACTGTTATAAAGAAAAAAGTTATTTGCTTATTCTTTCAATCCGTTTCATGTCTACAGGACCTGCAGTCATAAGCCCTATTCCATCCCTGATATTAGTAATTTATATCTTTTTTCTTTTGTTGATCTAATGAAGTTTGTTAATTTTATTCATCTTGTTTCAATATTTTCTGTATTAATTTTTCTAATGACAAACTTAAAAAATAGAAAGTTATTTTCTCTTGGCTCCTTAAAAATTTTTACTACTTTTTCCTGATAATAATTATGGAATATGGACACAAATGGTCATGAGAAATAAGCCAACCAAAAAACAATTTAAGCTGGGGGTGGTGGCACACGCCTTGTAATCCCACAGCTTGGGAGGCTGAGACAGGAGGATCATAAGTTCAAAGCCAGCCTCAGCAAAAGTGAGGTGCTAAAAAACTCAGTAAGATTCTGTCTCTAAATAAAATACAAAATAAAGTGGGAATGTGGCTCAGTGGTTGAATGTCCCCGAATTCCAATCCCTGGTAAACCCCCACAAAAAAAAAAACCACATAATTTTATAATTTTGCACTTACCAAAGTAGAGGTACCATTAGTGAAAGAAACTGTACATTCATCTTCATCACCATCTTTATCAAAATCCTCCAGTTCTTCTTGTCTTGGTCTTTTGGCATTTTCAGGAGAGAAGAAATTTTCTTCCTTTCTTTTGGCCATCAGGTCTGAACAAATATTCATAGTAACAATGAGATAAATCAAGTACAGCATCCATGTGATTGATAAACATTAAACTTAAAATAAATACACAAAGCTTACTAAATTTTAAGTACTATATCCACCCATTTTACTTTAAAAATTAAGTACATTAAAGTCTTCCATACTCTATGTGGAGGAAAGGGGTCATTGAATCAAAAAAATAAAATCTGGAAAAGGCAGGAAACATTTTCCTGTACAGCGTCCAGAAAGAAACACAGCTCTGCTGACACTTATAGCCTGAAAAACCCTGAGTAGGACTTATGATCTCCAGATGGGTGAGACAATAAATTTCTGGAACCTTAAAAATCATTTCTTGCATCCTCTCCATTAGAATGCTACTACAGAATTACTTATGGCAAGATTTTATCAACATATGCCCATCTGAACGTTTTTACTCTTAACTCACAAAAGGTAAAAACATTTTATTTGTGAAACTACAGTTTCTGGTTTTCTACATCTACTATGTAGAAAATGGGAATGGCATAGTCCTTCTTAAATTATTCCAGAGCAGCCAACCAATTCTTAACAAGTTATAGAGTAATAGCAAATCAGATAAAACTTTTGATTTTTATACTATTTTCCCAAAGAAACTTATTTTAAAGCAATGTTGCGCAGCATTAGAAGTTTCCTTAACCATTACCTAAGTAGTCCATTTTGGTTCTCTTCTTTGTCAATACACTATAAAATGTAAACCTAGAAAATTAATGTTTTTAAATAAATACAAGATTTTTGCTGAAAATATTAAGTGACCAGCTAATCCAAGCTGATAGTCTGTGACTGAAATTAAACTTTATTACTACTCTGTTACTCTCATTTTTCTCTTTACAATACTTTAATTAAGTCTCTTTAAAGACTTAAGATGATAAGCACGTAATAATTGTTGTTTGCTGAGTAAATAGAGGAAAAAAAACCATATGTATAATCAAAAATCTCTAAGATGTAATAAAAGAATAAGAGGAATGGTTCTAGAATCAATTCATTTTGGTCGTCCAATACTAGACCACAGCAGTCTTGCCTGTACCATATACTTGACTTCCCTCTCACCCCCAGCAACAGTAAACTAAGTATGCATTTGGTCTGAAAAATTCTACTCAGTCCTCACTAAGAGATGATAGCTCTATTTAATGATAGACCAAGAAACCCAGTCTTAAAAGGGTACAAATGTGCTGGGAAGGAAGGGGGCTCCTAGAGTGGCATTACAAAAAGAACACGAAGTAGATATGAAGAAACAGGAGATTCTGGAGGAGGAATGCAAGAGAGAGAAGAAGAAGGAAAAGACATTCCTATGCAGTGTTTATTTCACTTTTTAGTCCACTACTTTTCAAAGTTATATAAAGACAGACTCAATTCTGCAGAAATAACAAAGATGTATACACATTTTGGAGTACCTGTTTTGGAGAATTACCTTTGTCAAGTCTTGACACTATGATAATGAATGCTTCATTAAATAAAATGGGTAGCTTGTCCCTCTTTTTCAAGCTCTATATTGTCTTCTGATGCATCACATTTTAATATTTTAAGAAAATGAGAAAGAACTACACGTAAGCTTATTCAATAGTGAAGGCCTTTTTAAATCTAATTTTATGAAATCATTCCAATTTTTTTCTTGTATTTTGGTTTTTACAGGTTCACAATATCCTCCTGAACTGCTATTTTATAATTTGATTTTTAAAACATTGATAACAAAGACTCAAAATTATTACTTACCTTACATCTTATAAAATTCTTATCTGTAGTCACTACTTCATGCAAATTTTACTGTTTGAGAGCTGTCTTGAACATTTTTTCTCTAAACTAGTTCTTTGTGTTATCAAACTTTTCTTTAAGGAGACGTTTAATGATAATTCACACATTTTTATACAACTAAATATAAGGGATATGCTGGTGCTCAAGTTTAATCTCTAAATCCTCCTTCCAAAACACAATTTTAAAAAGCAACTGGAGACTTCCGCTTTCAGGAATGTAGAATAGAGGTGTTTTTTTTTCCCCCCTACTAAATGCAATTTAAAACCTTGAATGTTAATATATAAAACAAACTTAAGAACGTTCTGAAAGATGAAAAGAAAACATATATCTAGACCAGGGACCCAAGAACAAAACAGCAGTGAGTTCTGAGCTTGTGTCATGCCTTAAATATCCCAGACTTTGAGGGATTACTAACCGGGAAACACGTACAGGTGCCAGGAAAAAAAAAAAAAATAGCCCTAAACAAAAGCTGGTCCTCTCTACCCTTTCTCAATAAAAAGGATAGTGTAACAAGACAGAACACTCTTAGGCAAAAACTGCCTTACTCCTGTCAGATACCACTGAAAAAAACAAGGCTCCCTCTCCACTGATGTCAGCAAAGCTCAAGCCTGAACTCTGACCCTTGAAATGCTAAATAAAAAGCAGCATCTCTGCACCCCAAGGGACATAGAGTCAGAGAAGGATAAGCGGAGCAAGCAAGCAGACGAATTGGGGGACCAGGATAATGGTGTAAGAGACCATTTAAAGGGTCTAGACTTCCATGGATAGCAGGCAATAACAAGGTACTGTTTACTCTTCTTCCTGTTGACTGCTGTTAGAAGAGGCCTAGTGAAAAAGTAGGACTTGCACAGATGTGGCGAAACCATCCTCACTGCAGTGTCACTGGGAACCATCGGAAGAATGCCACCCTAGCCTACAAGTCAACCAGCTAAGGAAATAGTTCTGGTTAAGTTCTAGATCTGACTCTTTCTCTGTGGCCCAATACCTAGGATGACAAAGGCTATGTTCTCCTAAAAGGTACTAAAGACCTTAAAGGGTTTTTATTTAGATCTATCAACATTTATCATATTAGAAATTACAACTGAGAAATCTATACAACAAAGAACACAAAAGTACACATTCTATCAGCCAAAGCAATGGCATCCATCGCATGTTTTATTACCTCTGGAAAACTCCAGAATACACTCCAAAGTAAATGAGAGTGAAAAAGACAAATGATGCTTTACCATTATTATGAAAATATTTTTGACTCTGTAGACCTCAGGAAAGAGTTTCCATGGATCCATGCACCATATTTTGCAAATTGCTGCTGCAGAGGATACTACAGGCAAATCCATGTTATAGTGCCATATGTGATAAAGTATAGCTAGAAAGCAATAAAGTTAAGAGTGGTTGGGATAAAAGGGACCACAGAAAGACCTGCAGTCTTGATATTGCAGAGAGTGACCTAACAACCAACAAGCATCATCCAGGTGCTTCCTGGGAACTGGGTAGATAACCAAAATCTCAAGCCCCACCCTAAAGCAAGTGAATCAGAATCTTCAAAAGACTTTAGGTGGTTTATATAGAACCTTTTTATAAAGTTTGAGAAGGACTCTGAGTAATCATGTGTAAGAACCTGGGCTTTATTCTATTTTGAAGGCAATGTAAAAACCTAATACATTATAATGAATCAAATGCCAATTAAACACACACAACCCAAACAAAATTTCTGAGACAAAATTACCATTAAAGCCACATCTATATAATACTCAGCATCATTCTTTGCAGATAATTTATTTATTTTGAATCTCTCATAGAAGTCAAAATTTCAAAAATCAAACATATTTTTCAAGTTATTTAATAAGAATCAATGTACATTAGCTTCAACTTCTTGCTAATTTACATTTCTCAAAATACTACCAGATTATTATTCTTAGCAACACTTTCTTCTCTCTAGCCCATTCTCTACTCCCTTTTCAAACACTGAACAGTAATTTATTTATTACAGAACAACAGAAAGATACCATTACTTTTTGATTTTCCAAACATTTAGACAGTTCTTAATAACACTTAATATACTATCTGACATCAGTTGAGTGATTTTAGTATTTTATCATTAGAGAACAGTGGTTTTGCAAGCCAAATCAAAGGAGAGAGATGTACTAGGTTAAGTATGATGAAACTTCTTATCATAAATGTGAGAATCCATACCATATGGAAGATCATACAAATACTACGTGACAATTTTTTTTTTAGTTGCTATTATTGTTTTAGTTGTAGTTGGACATAATACCTTCATTTTATTTTTATGTGGTGCTGAGGATTGAACCCAGCACCCTGCAAGGGCTAAGCGAGCGCTCTACTACAGAGCCACAACCTCAGCATCCCCCCACCCCCATGACGGATGTTTTTATTTGCTGGGCATAGACTGGGATTTGCAGTTTGCAGTTAGGTTGCCAAGGTAACCTGAAATCTAACAGACACTGAGGTTCCTTCCTTTTAAAATAGGGACCACTTCGTAATTTAATAATGATGGATTTTCAAAAACAGATATGAATATCCTGATGTTCTGAGAGTTAGATAGAGGTTAAAATAGTAAAATTGTTCCCAATGGGATAAAGAAACATAACTGAAAAAAAAATTCTAAAATATACACTCAAAAAAGAAAAAGCTCCTCCGGGGATTTTCAATATGTAGATAAAGCTCATTTTAAGTATTTATTTACACTTACAATTTAAAAAAAAAAATCTGAATTAAGGGGCACATCATTTCTCCTTTATAGGAAGCAAGTACCACCAAAGTAGAGACACTGAAGATTGATTAAAAAATAAGTTCAAAACAAAAATCAATAACTAAAGGTTTATTATGGCACGTAGATACATAAGAAATTTGAAAGCTATCACTTGAATTTTTAACAGAGTTATAAAAATCTAACTTTCTAATTTTAGTAACTGTCTAGTTGTATAAGGAGATTTAGAATTATTGGGAGTTTTGTTTTGTACTGGGGATTGAACCTGGGGGTGCTTTACAATTGAGTTACATACCCAGATCTTTTTATTTTTTATTTTGAGACAGGGTCTCGCTAAATTGCTGAGGTTGGCCTCACACTTGAAATCCTCCTGAGTCACTGGGATTACAGGCATGCACCACTGCACCAGACAGAATTATCAAATTTTTATTAAAGACAAGTTACTACTATTTTTGAATGTGCCCCAGCTTGTGTTTACCTTATCCCCAATTCCACTCTTCCCACCACAAAAGACACATTCATTCTATACTAAACAACCTCACGTTTGTGTGTGTGTGTGTGTGTGTGTGTGTGTGTGTTGCTGGGGATTGAACCCAGAACCTTGTTCATGCTAGGCAAACACTCTAATCTTGAGCTACACATCATCAGCCTCATAATCTCATCTTTAATGTAAAGAATTAATTAAGTATGTTGATTGGAATATGAGATTTACTAGATAATAAATAAGTATGCAACTGTAAAACCTTGTTAAGTCCATTCACCAAAAATGCAAGATCAGCAAAACTAGGAAGTACTGTCCACATTTTAGATAATAAAAATGTAAATACTCAGATTTGTATTTTGAAAATATCCCTATGGTCTCAATATGGAGCAGAGGAACGGTAAAAATAACTAGATTTAGTGAGAATAACAGTGAGAAGAGACTACTTTCTAATATTATCATAAGTGGCTGAACAAAAACTTTGGCCAGTATCAGGGATGAAAGAAGATGCAACCAAAAGATTTAGAAAACTGGTTATAATTCCAGATGAGTAGAATTAACATTTGTTGAATAACTCTGCCTCAGTTTTTGAGATACTTTATCTATTTTTAACTTTTCACATTCTTATAAATATTGCTCTCATTTTTACAAAAGGGGAAGTTAAGATTCAAACAAAAGACCTGAACTTAAGTAGCTACAACTTAGTTACAACTCATAAAAGGTTAACTTATAGCTAAACTTAGCAGAGGTCCAAATCCAGGTTTGTCAAACCTGAAGTCCAATCTCTTCAATGACAAGTTCCTTACTAGAATAAACAAAAGGGGAAGTTAAGATTCAAACAAAAGACCTGAACTTAAGTAGCTACAACTTAACTCATAAAAGGTTAACATATAGCTAAAACTTAGCAGAGATCCAAATCCAGGTTTGTCAAAGCTGAAGTACAATCTCTTCAATGGCCAATTCCTTACTAGAATAAACAAATGAGTTTGACAGCTTATTCATAGGCAATGAAACACTATTAATCTGTTCTTTATCTACTTGTTTATCCTTCATCAAAACTACCAAAATAATTTTATTATGATGTACCAATCATGTCCTAATTAAAGTGAATCAAACTTTGGGCTTGCTTTATAAGATTTCAGTTTGTCTTTCATCTTCTCATTTAGTGCTAAAAACCATTATAAGTAGATAGAAGGTTTGTCAAGGAGGCAGCATAAATAATAGATTTGTTTTGTTTGAAAACGGAGTTCGAAGAACTCCTAGGATATTGAGAGTTCTGCAGGTCATAAAATATATTCAGCAGGTGGATTTGGGAGTGTAGGGAAGAAACTACAGAAAGTAGCTTGAATTTGGTGAGGAAGGAAAGCATGCTGAGAAAAGATGTAATTCATTCAAGTAGTCAATCAAAAATGTGAACATTAATATAGACAAAGTAACTATTCTTGACCCTCTGCTAGCTGAACTTCAGGGTTTGTGTACACAGAACTGTGGCATTTGATGCCATCCTAAATATGCTTTTATGGTCAAATTTTGAGTTACTTGTTAATTCCTGACAGTCAAGTACTTGTGAGCAGGTGTGGGGGGGGGGGGCAATGTGCTGTAGATTAAACCTAGAACCTCAGACATGCTAGGCAAACACAACCCATGAGTTACATCCCCAGGTAGCCAAGTGCATCTTTGATTTTAAAACTTTCTTTTAAAAACCACAGTCAAGGTTTAGTCAAGTTTTA